AAGGAGGCGGTGTATACAGCTTGTGGTTGGGTCATACCTAGGGGGTGTCATAAACTCTGTCATACAGATGGTCTTCATCATCAAGCTGCCTTTCTGCAACTCCAATGTTATCAACCATTTCTTCTGTGATGTCCCTCCCCTCCTTGCTCTGTCCTGTACCAACACCTACATCAATGAGATGATCCTCTTCTCCTTAGCTGGTGTTATTGAGCTCAGCACTATCTCCACCATCCTGGTCTCCTATGTTTTCATCTCCTTTACCATCCTGAGGATCCGTTCAGCTGATGGCAGACAAAAAGCCTTCTCCACCTGTGCTTCCCACTTGATGGCTGTGAGCATGTTATACGGGACAACGATCTTCATGTATTTGCGTCCCAGCTCTAGTTACTCTCTGGACAGTGACAAAGTGGTCTCTGTCTTCTACACAGTGGTGATCCCCATGTTGAACCCCCTCATCTACAGCTTGAGGAACAAGGAAGTGAAGGATGCTCTGAGAAGAACAGCAGAAAGAATTGTAGCTATACACTGAACAGTATAAACATGGTAGTGCAGGCACTGAAAGATTGCAAATGCACTGAATATAGCTTCACAAAATGAGACTCAATTCATTTAACTTTAGACTACCTCAGATGCCTACATCTCCATTTAAGATATCTCCAACTTAARTTCTGTATGTAGATGCTGGGGAGAAGCTCACCTTCAAGATACCTAGCTTACTTCAGACATTCATTTCAGGATATAAAAGCCTGTGAAAGGGCCTCTTGATAAATCACCCATTATAGTTAGTCTCATATAGCAGCTGACCTTTATACTGCAGACATGCTCTCCTCATTTCTTAATAGAAGAATGCATATAATTAGGAACAACTGGGATTTTTTTTCTCTCAGAGGTTGTGGAATCTCCGTCCTTGGAGATAATCAAAACTGGACAAGGCCTTGAAAAACCTGATTTTGCAGGAAGTCATCCCTGCTGTGAGCAGAAGATTGGACCAGAGACTTCCAGAGGTCCTTTCAGACCAGGATAATTCTAGGATTCTATGAATGGCATTATATATCTGATGTAAAATACAACTTTATATACACATGTTTATATACATCGTGCAGGATATTATTATGTGTTATCTATGTGTAGAGATACACACTTCTACCGGTTTCCTCATCATACTCAAACCTCACATTAGCTTTAATAAAAAGCCATGGTCATCCGCTCAGTATATTAAGGATACAGGGCATTCCATTGTTGGTTTTAGTAGACAGATATCTTTATCAGAGAAAATGCCAAATGATTTCTCAGAATGTTTCAAGCCACTGCCTGTCTGTGCTACAAGTTTTCTTGCTGAGTTTAGCACAGCACAGTGAGTTGGCATTAAGCATTTCTTCTCCCGTATTCTGCTTGGATTCTTATTGGGACCATTTGAATACAGGAACATGCACTTAGACATAGAAATATGCCCGCTGGTGTTTGCCTTCTGACAGTTCTTTACAAATTCCATTTATAAATATATTCCATTATAAGCCTTTTGTGCTGGCAAATGGAAAATGGAGAAGCAGAAATGCTCATCACTTAAGACATCTGTGTGTCATCAGCAACACGATTTGTTGTGCAAATCCACAGCAATATCCACATGATTCAATGGGTGAAGGCTCTTGTCCTTGGGACTAACTCAGAGGTTGACATTTTTGTGGTACACAGGTAAAAACAGCTCTAAAGTATTTCAAATAGTCTGGACAAACCCCTTAGCTAGCCCAAACACTGCATTTAGCATTTAGAGTTTCGATGATTACAGGCTGGCACCTGAGATCCAGCTTCTGTGAACCTTTTCCTAGAAAAACATAAGATCTAAATGGATAAACTGTGAAACTGTCATTTGATGATAAGATCAAATGAATAAATCTAATAAAGATAAAAAAGTTTGAATAGGGCTAGCCTATTAATCAGATATCAACCCGGTTGCTGATTTGTGAAAACTTTGCAGAGTTAAACTTATCTTTCCTTATTAGCTCCTTTAAGGCCCCTTCATCATACATTGCTATTCATTTTTTTCTTTTACWATTTCTGCTATTAAAAGTTTTGTAAAAAGTTGTAATTGGCTTTCTAATTTATGCCCATGGTGCTTTGTTAAAGATAAAAGGAAAAGAAAAACACATTATCAGTGCAAGAAGCATCCAGAGAATAAGCACTTAGGCATTAAGAAGTGTGTGGGGAGAATTTTAAGAAAGAAAAAGAGAATGAAAACCAAAGAATGACTGAGAAAAATAAAAATTGGGTGTATTTCTCCTTCTGCAGGAGCTAGCACCTACCAGAATTTACACATCCCACCTCTTGCTTTTTTCTAACCAGAAAATTGCAGATGTTGTAAAAATTCATTGCCACCAGGGGGAACAGTAGCCAGAGGTTTGGGGGGGGAGGTTGTGTTTTTTTTTCCACCACGCAAATAACTTCTATTTCCTGAGCATTTCATCAGTCGGAGGTAATAGCTGTCCCGGAGAACATTGTCTTAACAAGTTCCTCTGGGAGGGGATTTAGAAATGATTGCCTGAGACTGCACAGATTGCATAGATGAAAGCTGGCTGCGGTTTTGTAACTGAAGTCACCTATTCCACACTGTGGATGGAGGTCATTTAAATTGTCAAAATTGGAAATTATGTTGAACAGAGTTTTCTTGCTGTCATGAACAAGGGGGTCTATTTTCTGGTTCTTGACAGCTGGTCATTCCCCTTCTTCCTTATACACTTCCACACTACTTTGGCAATCCTAAGAATAAGGTTGTGGACACAGGAAGAGCTGCAGACCACCTGAGTCCTTGATAATGCAGGCACTCGAACAAGTATTATGATATGGCCAAATACTGACATATTAACAAATATCCTGAAGCATGGTCAATGGGATTTTGAGGTAGGGGCAATTTAGCATGGGATGAGTCTCCCATCTTCCATCTTTCCAAGTGGACTAACTTTTCTGCAGGGGAACATCATCCTATAATGAATGCCACACCAGCTGAAGCCTTGCTAAAAATGGCACCCTCTATTTGGGTGTAAAACAACCACTCATCCAGAATAATCTCCTCCCTCACTACCTCCCCATCCCATAAACCTGCACTAACTCTTCAGTCACAGGGAGGAAAAGAGGGGAAAAGATTCTCCACCATAAATGTGAGGAGACACATTGAGAAATCAGAGTGGAGAGACACAGGCACAGTTCTGGGCAGACAGAAGGGAGGATAATGTGGTGGGCAGCACAAAGCCTCCATATGACAGCAGCATTGGCATCCCATCATGTTTATACAACTAATTATCACTCACATTTCAAATCTATCAATRTATTGCACATCTGAGTCTTGCTACCAGCATTTAAGAAGTTACTGATCATCAGTTGAATGAAGATGGCAAACCTTACACACTATAAATGAAAAATAAGACACCTACACTTAAAACATGGGCAAGGAGCATACAGATATGGGCCTAACCTGTTGAGTGCTAGTAAGAGGCGTGTTGATCCAGCTAGAATCACTTCTCCAACTGATCCAAATGCCTACATCCCTAGAATTTACGTGTTAATCACTAAGATATTTAAGGACAAGATGGACCCACGGCAGTTGCCCTCTTGCAACTTCCAGTTAACGCAGGCTGCAGGCTGGAAATTCCTGTGCTCTGCTTCAAACCTCAGTCAAACTCCAGGTCTCCTAAAACTGGTGAAGCAAGAGTGCAGTAACTAAATAATAGTAGATACTAGTTTAAGAAATGATAGTTTCCTGGGAGCCTAGTCAGCCTCTGTAGTTGGTTGAGAAGAATGAATGGGACGTGCTGTCCCCTGGAGACACCCCAATCCTGAGGTACTTGTAAAAGCACTGAAAAAATGGCATAAACTAACAGGGAGACTGTCTGTAAACATAAAGCAGATGCCCAGAGAAAGAGAATATGAATGACTAGCTTGATAGAAGATCGAGGATGTGGAAATGGATATACAGAGAAGCATTTCAGTGATAGTTCTTTTAATCTTTGCATTTTTTTCTTTGCATTTTCTTTCTTTTCTATTCCTATATGTTGTTGCTAACAGAAGCAAATAAGTCATTGCCATGGATGAAAGAAATCAAGACTTCCAGAGGTCCTGAAGTCTCATAAAGTATCACCAAACCCAGGAGGGGGTCACCACTTCTTCAAGACAGAGACATATATGACCTCCACTATGATATGATAAAAATAATCTCCCTGCTGCAAAAAGTGGTTGAATTGTATGCTCTACGCTTGATTTTTTTGTTTTTTTTTTCTTTTTTTTGCAACAACTTTTATGCAGCTCTGCAAGAAGGATGCTTCATAATTCTGTGTACAAAACAATTAAGAAATACACATGAAACAGATGATTCTTTGGAATTGTGATAAGTCAAACTTTTAGAAAATAAACTTTTCCTCTTTTTTTTTTTTTTTTGGCATTAATTTCTTTAAAGTCAATTCAAGTGGCCAGGGATAATGCAGACTGGAATTCACCCTGCTTTCTCCACCATGTGCATCTTCCACCAAAGGCTGGGGTGAATCACCCCCTGCAGATGCCTGTCTCTCTGGTAAGAAAAGTAGAGGTAAATTGACAAATTTAGACTGCTATATGATTTTGACATGGACTTGACTAGCTAACCTGAATTCCAGTATAAATGGAAGGGATAACATTAAGATTTTATGGTGTAGCTGGAAATCCCAGTATGTGAGGGCTGTTATCGCAGCTGATTTTTATATTAAGGAAGATGAGATGCCAACTCCACAGAAGAGCCAAGCAGCCACTGTCTTATATATCTATTTAACATAAAGAAATTTCACTGAATTTGGGACCCCTTCTCTGCCATTCATTTGCTATTCTTGTCTGTGAGAGGTCTATTTGATGACTTTGCCACTGAAAGTACTTCAAACTTGTTTGTGACATTGGTCATCATAAAGATGTGTTTCCAGACGTGGATACTTCTATTCCTCTCAAATTTATGAGTGATCTAAACCTAGCAACATCCACAGTCATCAGGAAGAAGTTTTTCTCTCCATGACCCTTCCCAAAGCATCCTTCACCTCCCTGTTCCTGAAGCTGTAGATGAGGGGGTTTAGCATAGGGATCACCACTGTGTAAAAGACAGAGGCAAATTTGTCTGTGTCCATAGAGGAGGGATGGCTGGGACGGCAGTACATGAAAAGGATGGTCGCATGGAATAGAGTGATAACTGTTAAATGGGAGGCACATGTAGAGAAGGCTTTGTACTTTCCTGCTTTAGAGTGGATCCTCAGCACAGCCAGGATGACGATAGTGTAAGAGGTGAGGATGATTATGATTGTGCTGGTTTCCACGAAGGTAGCAAAGCTGAGAAGCAGCACTTCATTGATATGTGTGTCAGAACAGGCAAGGGCTAACACTGGAGAAACATCACAGAAAAAATGGTTAACGGTGTTAGGGCCACAGAAGGATAACTGAAAGGTGGAATAAGTGTGTGTCAGGGAGCATATGATACCACATATATAGGATCCAGCTACCAAACAAATACAGAGTTTTCTGGACATAACAAGCATGTAAAGAAGTGGGTTACAGATGGCTACATAACGATCATAAGCCATCACRGCCAGTAGAAAAGACTCTGTGACAACAAAATGGACAAAAAGAAACATCTGTGTGGCGCAGCTAAAGAAGGAACTGGCTTTTGTTTCAGACAAGAAGTTGACCAACATCTTGGGCACGATGGATGATGAATAGCAAATGTCAACAAGGGATAAATGGCTAAGGAAGAAGTACATGGGGGTGCGCAGACGGGCTTCAGCTCTCACCAACAAGATCATTCCCAGGTTTCCCATCAAAGTAGCAATATAGACCATGAGGAACACAATGAAGAGGGGAACCTGCAGTGTTGGGTGATCTGTCAGTCCCAAGAGAATAAACTCTGTCACTGTGGTGTGATTTTGCTTATCCATTGCACTGGTACCTGTAGATTGTCTGCTTCTGCATCACTTGGAAAGACAAAAATCGAAGGGTCTTTTGCAATTTGTATCAAAAACAGTTAACAGTAAWACAGAAGAAGCTGTTCATGAAGCTGTTTATGAAATTTCTCTGTGGAAAAGAAAAAAAAAGGTTTTAAATGACACTTCGCATCATGCCTGTGTTTCTTTAATATCTATGTAAAGTCAGAAAGTCTAATCAGAATGATGCTGTAGAGTGAATAAAACAACTTTGCATAATACCTTTTGGCATGGATAGCTGCTTACCTGAATGGATAGTACTGCCTTGGCTGAACGAGATGTGAGGGACTTCAAGATGTAAATGACCTCAACAATTCCAGTCAACCTATTAGGAGGTCATGTAGTAAGATGTCAYTTATTAAAGGAGCAAAGTGAAATCAGGTGCAAAAATTCACTACAAATATCCTTTCCCCAGGCTCTGTTTTGATATATGTCACCTACCTCTTTGTCTTCCTTAGTTGTTGTTGTATTTCCCATCTCTCTTACTCTGGTTACAAGCTGCAGGGCCTTCTGATACCGCTTTTACAGGTGGTTTCAAGACACCTGGGACTTCGATCCCCAGCGAACCTGAAAATACCCAGGAGGAGGAAGTCAAGAACACAGGAACAAACTAGATGTAYAGCATGAGACAGGCATTTTGATACTTGAAGCAGCAAGAAGAGAGATTGCACAACAACTTTGGTTTCATTGTGTTCCCCTTACCTTTACCCACTATCAGTGTTCGTAGTTCCTTCTTCCCAACAAGTCAGTGAAGGTCTGCACTGCTCACAGGACCCAACAGCTGCGAGCAGCAAACTCACAGGTTTTGTTGTGATGGAAACACAAAAGCTTTTGATTTTTCACTCCATACAAAGGCTGTCTCCTTGGTATAAGAGCCCATCAAGAGGAACAGCCCCTTTTCCTCAGACTAGGCCTTTGCTCTATAAGCCATCACACATTGAATCTGTACATCAGTTTTCTGCTTCCTTTCTCCATGCCCAGTGGAGGACTCATGCCAGGATAGAGGAGGCTGATGAGGTCCTCTGAATGTGGTGGCACTCTCTTCTGGAGTCAAATTAAGTCTGTCAAAGACAGCAAGCACCACATGCTGTCCTGAGACTCCACAAGACTGTGGATCTGAAGAACATGCCCAAAAGGGCAGTGAAGGAAAAAGGAAAAACCCATTCTGCTAAACAAAGATGACCAGAACATGAGCCAAAACGGAATCAGTTCCAGGATGTTTAATGTGTAAGCAATGCTGAATTCAAGCAATATTGTCAGTTAAAAGAATGCAGAGATCGGATTCTTATTAGTATCGTTGCCTGCCTGATAATGACTTTTACCAAACATGCTGATGAGCACGTTTGAACAACTGAGTATCTGYTCATGTCAGTTAGAGAATAAGACCTGCAATGATCCAACCTCTTTGAATTTTTCTAGTATTTTTCTGCTTGAGTGCTGTCAAACTAACTAACTCAGATCTTTTCTTTCCACATGGCTGTCCTAACAATCACTCTATTAAAATGTGTTCCCGTCTTATAGAAGAACCCAAGAAAAACTGCAGTCCTCCTTTCTCAATATGCTGTTCTTGAGAATCCCACCCAAAGGATCACATTGGGCAAGGGCCTTGCTGGAGCACTCAGCACTATATCGATTCTTGCAGAGGCTTTGCTATGATATGAATCACTTGCTTTGCAAAAACTTTTTGACCAGTTTATAAAATGGCATGAACTCAGGGGAACTCATTCCATACTAATACCTTGTCACAGRTGCACATACACAGACACCTTGTCAAACAAGTGTGTGGGGGAGGGCTTGTAAACAAAGGAGGTTGAGTCTTCACAGCTGAAACATTCAGGCATTAGATCACTGAAAGSAGTTCCTGGAAAGCAAATATGTTAGAACCTGTAGGATTGTGGTGCTGAAAACACATGGCAAAAGAGCCAGTGGCAATGGCTGGTAAACAACTTTGAACTAGAGAGTAAATGTTGAGGTGTGAACATGYTGAAGAAGCAAGAGCCAGGAGCTGGTGAGGAGGTACTTGAAATATGTCATTGCCCTTTCCTTCCTCCACCCTCTGCAAATGCTGACCAGTGGAGAGATGAGCTTGCTGGATGTTTTCAGGACATGACAGCAAGACAACAGAAGGTGGCCGGGACATTCAGAGGAGACATAAGGCAGTGATACAACCACTTTGTCTATGCCAAAGTAAGATGGTTAGTCCTTGGTTCTAAACAACCTGACTTTGGAGCTGGATTAAACATTTTGATGCTATCACATGAGTCCTGAAGTAGCACTTTTAACATGAAAAGTGACTTCATTGTCAGTCATGGTGCAAAGACTGTTATGAGAAAGACGAGGTAGGAGAATAGAGCACAGTTCTACTGTCCTCTGCTTAAYGGGTTTCACTCTGAGACATGACGTGCCTTAGGCATCAGAAGATAAAACAAAGTTTAAATCCTGATAGCAGTAAAAGCTGCTTCCTTAATCTGACAAYTTACGTACCTCAAATTATTGTTAATTGTGGGAAGCATGTTTTCCTTTCAGTCCTGAAGCAGCACAAGRTGGTGTGAACCAATGAATCAGAGACTTTGTACTGTCTTTAAAAATCTGATACTCAACCATCTAGGTTGGATTTGCTTAGTCGGCATCATGTCTGAAGCCCTCCTTCCTCACTGTGGGCATATGAAATGTACATGTGCTCACCTAAGTGGGTTACCCTATTTTCCTTCTATTAGCAAGAGAAGAAAAAAAATGTATTTAGTGGAAAGGCATTGATGCAACACGTTTCCTCTGAAAGAAAAGGTCTGCTTTATGAGGAGGAAACTGCAACTTGGGAGTAACAATATACCCTTAGGCACATCTTTTTACCATTGTAATCCCAGACAGCACTTTATCTGGCAAGTATTCCCCTTGGCTTCACTTCTTTTCATCCACCAAGCAACAGCCAGGCATTAGTAGCAACAGCTATAGTCTTTTTCTCTAAGGTCCTTGCCCTACAACCTTGCTCAGGGGTGTCAGATATAGATGAATAATGTAATTACATTAGAGAGACCCAGATTTGTCCCGTCAAATTTTTTGAAGAAAGGGCTGTGGTGTAAGGGAGATGTGTATGTCCGGAGGGGATTCATGTCTTAACTGGGCTGCTTGTGGTTGCACATATTTGTTTGCCTTAGCTCATACTGGCATCTATCTTCAGTATTTYGAAGGCTGCCTTACTGGTCTATTAGCCTTTATTTAAGGAGGGTATTTAAAAGTAGCATATAGGATTCCTAGTGAATCCGAAGTGTAGATACAGCTGCTCTCTGAACAGCACTACAGGCATGATATTCCTAAGGTGCTACAAGAAGGGAAATTCAGTTCTCCCTATAAACTAGGACCTGGTAAGTACATTTCACAGCACATTGTTAAACGCAAGGGCTTGAGCTGGACTGAGAAAGGGGTTTTTATTTTGTTTTGTGTTTTTTTCAGTTTTGTCACCAAGGCCATTTCTATCTTCCTAATTACATCTGCTCAACTTGTTCAGCACCCTCCTGTTGCTGTGTATGCCTCATGTATGTTACCCCGCTCCTCTCTCCCCCMACAAAGACCTGGAAGCTCTCCTGGCACTTCTTCTTGGAGGAATCATTGCTGAAATTATTGCAACTTCTTAAGAAACCAATCCTAAGAGGGAAAATCCTTATGAGCTTGTTTTGACCAGATCCTATGATATTGCAAGAGATCTCACAAAATAAATCAAGAGATGTCTCAGTAGATTAAGGGTTATAATTTGCTACTTTTTTTTGTAAATATATGTGATGATTCCTTACAGCTCCAGCTGACTAGCATAAAACTTGCAGTACTCAATTATATTATCTGTTTGGGGTGAGTTCAGTCAGCAGTTTAACTCACAAATATGCAATTTGCTATTGCTTTCCTAAGTGCCTCTTTCACCTCCTTGTTCCTCAAGCTATAGATCAGCGGGTTGAGCATGGGGACTATAATGGTGTAAAACACAGCAGTGACTTTTTCCATTTCCAGGGAGTACTTGGAGCCCGGCTGCATATGGCTCAGTCCTGCAGGCACGTAGAACAAGGTCACAGTCATAAGGTGGGAGGCACAGGTGGAGAAGGCCTTCTGCTGTCCTTCAGAAGACCTGATCTTGAGGATGCAGAAGAGGACACGCACATAGGAGAGGATGATGACAAACAGCATAGACATAGAAATGGCCCCATTGAACGTTACAAGTAAGACCTCGTTGATATGGCCATCAGAGCAGGTGAGTTTGAGCAGAGGGTTAGTGTCACAGAAGTAATGGTTGATGACATTAGGCCCGCAGAAGGGAAGCTGCAGCAAGCAACACGTTTGTGTAAGCGAGTTCAGAATGCCCCCCAGGTAGGATGCAGCCACCAGCCAAACACAGAGTCTCTTTGACATGTATGTCGTGTAGAGAAGTGGGATACAAATAGCCACGTAGCGGTCGTATGCCATCACAGCCAGCAAGAACACCTCTGTAGTCACAAACACAAGGAAAGAGAAATGCTGGGCAAAACACRCCGAGTAAGGAATGGCTTTGTTTTCCACTAAGAAGCCAATTAACATCCTTGGGGAAAAGACAGAAGAATAGCAAAGATCAACAATAGACAAATTGCAGAGGAAGAAGTACATAGGAGTGTGCAGCTTGGGGGTAATCCTGATCAGGGTCACCATCCCAAGATTGCCTATCAGAGTGATGAGATAAATCATTGAAAATATGATGAAGAGAGGAAGTTGCAGCTCTAGCTTGTCTGTCAGTCCTAGGAGTATGAACTGTGTCACCACAGTGCTATTGCCTTTAGCCATGTTTATCATATTTCAGGATAGTAAACCTGTTGGAATGAGGAAAACTGTGTGAAACAAGAGATAACAATTGAATGTAAGTACAATGTCATAACCTTTAAATTATCCTCTAAAAAGTAAAAAGCTTTCATGCTTTCTGTAGTACCTAACTATGGCTA